GGTTGACGCTTCACAGCATAGAGCATCTCCATCATCTGAAGTGTTTGCGGTATTGCCTTGTGGATTGGAGTTTTTATTTAGACTCCAACAATTCTTCTTCAGATGACCCTTCTTTCCACAGTTGTAACACTTAAATTCTTCTTGCTCCTCGACTTCGATCTACCATGTTGTGACTGCTGCTTTGGCCACATTCTGTTGATCTCCCTCATCGTTGTCAACGCTTCTGCTTGTTGCAGATTTACTTGTCTGTCTTCCTTGTCTTGCGCGATTTTCTTCTTGTAGAACAGCAGCTGCAACATCATCGAAGACTAGACTAGTGACATTATTGTTTGTCAAGTTGATGATGAGTTGATCATACGAATCCGGTAAACTTTGAAGTAGAAGTTCAGCACGTTCTTGTTCTCCTATTTTACAGCTTAAAGATGTAAGCTGAGAAAATAAAGTGTTCAGTGTATTTAAGTGCTCCGTCACTGAAGTAGATTCTGGCATACGGAGAGTACAATTTTCTCTTAAGAATTTCACTATGAGAAAATAGGAATTACAACCTCTCTCGATCTACCAAGGAAAAACAATGATAATTCTCTCTTGATAAAAAGGAGAAAACAACTCTAAAAAAAACTCTCTAAATTCTCTATAGTATTGGAAGAAAGCTAGAATGCTTTGGGATGGTTTTGAAGCTAAATGAGCTAGGGTATTTATAGTTGAAACTTAAGGACTAATCTTATAAATACCCTAAAGTTTAGTGACTAAAGTTTATAATTTACCCATTTAATTTTCAAACATTATTGCACCTAATTTTGACATTGTTGCATCTAATTTTGACATTGCAATATTAAGTGCCTAACTTGAACCAATTTTCCAAGACATTTCAACATATATATATATATTAAATGTTAATTAAATAATATGGTTTATTAATCAGGAAAAATCATTATCTATCATCGTATAAAACGTTAATTGCATCACATGTCCTTAATGTATAACCTTCATTTTAAGTTGATTCCTAAACTTTTAAATGTTCCAATTTCATCTCTAAATTGTGACTATGATTCTAAATAAGTACTCAAACTTTTAATTAATTAATTGAATTTATACAAATTAGAATTTATTACACCCGCTCTGTAGGTGAAAAATAATTCTTCAAATAATGATTATATTTTAAAAACAATTTTTAATTGAATAATTTTTATTAGAAAAAAATAAAGCTAAATTTATGAAAATTGAGAGTGAAGATGGAATTAGGTTATAGGTTAAGTTTATAGATTCTATGGAAATTAGTAGGGGTGTTCAAATAATCGAACTAATTCGGTTAATCGACTGAACCAAATTAGTTCGGTTAATTCGGTTCGGTTATCGAATTAGTTCGGTCGGTTAACGGTTAAGAAAATTTTTAGAATTTAGTTAACGGTTAATCCGGTTCGAATTCGGTTAATTAACCGAATTAACCGAAATTGAATTTTAAATATTAAATAAATTATATATAACATATGGGCTCAGCCCAAACCATTTAAAACCTAATTAATAATTTAATATCTAATAACTTTTAAACCTAAATCAATATTAATTAAAAAAAATTATATAAAATTTTTATTTTATAATTATATATTATTTAAATTAATTGTAAACTGTTTTTTTAATTAAAAAATATTATATATATTATATATAACATATGGGTTCAACCCAAACCATTTAAAACCTAATTAATAATTTAAGATTCAATAAGTTTTAAACCTAAATCAATATTAATTAATTAAAAAATTTATCTGAAATTTTTATTTTATAATTATATATTATTTAAATTAATTATAAACTTTTTTTGAATTAAAAAACATTTAATTTTTATATAAATTAGAAAATTTAAAAAAAAATCGGTTAATTCGAAAATTAACCGAATTAACCGAAATTTATTCGGTTCGGTTAATATGTTCGAAAAAAAGTTTGGTTATATTAACGGTTAAAGAAAAAAAATTTAGTTAATTCAATTATGATTAATTTGGTTCGATCCGATTCAATTTTAACCGAATGAGCAAACCTAGAAATTAGAGTATTGGATGGCTAATATTTATAAATATAACGCCTCGATTATTGGGGACATTGGAATTGGACACTTTCCCCCCAAGAAATATCTAGTCAGTTGTATATGACTAATATAGCCTAACAAATAAGATTCAATGCTTATGTATTCAATATAACAAATGAACTCTAGATTAGTTTAGAGTTAGTTAAATATAAGGGTAACCTACATGTTTAATACCTTAACTATTATTTTTGTTCCGTTTTGATCACTTAATTTTTAATTTTTGTTTTATTTTGACCACTCGTTGTTAAAAAATTAATGGTGATTTTGATGTGTCATCATAAGATAATGTCACAACATCATTGAAAAATAAAAAAGTCATGTCAACAGTTATGTTATTTTTTAACGATGTTTAAAAAAATAAATGTTTGATATGATTTTGAAAAAAAAATTGAGTGATGAAAATAGAATAAAAGTCATAGTTGGGGTACTAAACCTGTAGATTATCTTAAATAAAATTTGATTTCATTTAGAAATTAATTTTATTTAAGATTTGAGTTATTTGATTTAATTAAATTAAAGGTTTAAATTTTGTGAGTTTAAATAACGGAAAAATCAAATATTAAAATCACTTAATTTTGTTATCTTTAATTTTAACTAATTAATTTTATAATTTAATCCATGATTTTCATGTTTTTCAATTCCTTCTTTTTTTAAATTTATTTTTATATTCTTTTGAAGATTTGAGTATTGATAAAATTATATTTAATATTAATCATCTTCACTCTTACTTGTTCAACAGTCAAATGAGTAATCACATAGCTTTTTTTTTCTAGATTTAAGGGTTGTTTATTTACTTCAGAATGATTAAGCGCTGAATGATTCAGAAGTTCTGTATGAATTAGCTCTGAATGTGACATGTTGTTTGATAATGACTGAATCATTCAGTATGTATTTCTGTGCTGAATCATTCAGTATTGTTTTGTTAAACCAATCAGCACTGAATCATTCAGAGGTGCGAAACAAACGCACCGAATGTTGAACGGTTCAACATTCAACGCTGAATGATTCTATTAAGAGACAAACAAACAACCCCTTAATTTGGCCTGATGACCTATTGTTTATATATTGCTATATGTTCAAGTTTAAACTACGGATCATTGGATGAATTAAGGGGGTGTTTGAATGGGAGAATGTTAGATTCCCATGGGAATGAAATTCATATTCCAACGTTTGGTTAGCCCGGAAATCTCATTCCCTGTAATGTAAGATTACCAATAGTGAATATTTTGGGGTATATTACCAGAAATGTCATTACCTCCCTTTCCTTAGGTATTATTGGATTACCAGTGTTTTGGACTAAAATATCCTTAAATTTTTATTTTTTTCAAAAACATCTTTCTTCTGTCATTGAATAATAAAAATTCTACGAAGATTAAATTACAAATTTATCATTAAATTATTATAGATTTACAAAAAATATATATATAATTAAAATTTTATATGAAGTTCAGGGGTTAAAATAAAATTTTACCCTTCCATTAAACCTTTTTATATTTTTAATTTTGTAAAAAATATATATATAAATATTATGAATTTAAATTTTTAAAGAAAATATATAAATATTTTCCAACTTATAATATTATACAAATATATAATAAGGATAATTTGGTCAAATATACATTCCAATAATCTTTTATTCCTTTAACCAAACAAGATAATCTTACATTCCTGCTAAGCCAACCAAACACAAAATACAATATTCTCAATAATCCTATTCCCTGGTAATCTTACATTCCCACTGATAATCTTACATTCCGTGAACCAAACGCACCCTAAGAGATTAAAAAAAATATTTTTATTTAAAAGTGGTTTAAGAGATCCAAAAAAAATACATGTAAATATTTTAACTTTACATGATCAAACCTATTGTACAATTATACTTGAATAGAACAATTTTCTATTAACTTCAAGGACAGGAGCAGATCGTGGAGAAATGATGAAAATATTTTACTCACGAGAATCCAACTCGATCAATAGCGGTAAGTGGATATTGGAGTTTAAATATTTTAGAAACAATGATCTAGTTTGACATGACACAGATATGTTATCCTAAACTTCACCCTCACTTCATAAAATTAAAGATTTTAAAATTACAAACAACCAAAAAAAGTTTGAAATTGAAGGAACATTACATTACCAAGTGAGGATGATCATTGTATTTGGTGCTGGCTGTAAGAATACTCATTTGATCAAAATCTGTCATTTTAAGTTAAAAAGGTATGTGAAACCTCAATAAACGTATATATACTACCGTATTTTGTTTCTTGAGCTCTTGTTGCAAAATGGATGAAACCAAGTATCACCAAAGGGCCAAACATATAACCCGTTAAATGCCGTCGATTTCAAAACATATTCATAATGGTTTGACAAGCTGCTGCACCAACTATAGGTGAAACTTGTGTAGAAATCATTCCCTGTTTCCGGTTTAACCGCCAAGTCAACTGGGCCTCTCACTCTTAGTTAACTCGAGATACTGGCTTCATCGTTACCTTTTTTCAGTCGCTCCTTCCTGTGTCTTGTTCAGAATCTTTGTTATCTGTACTGGTGTATACTTCTACTGCTTCCTGAGACGCAGTAAATATCACTATATTAGAAAAGAGATTAACAAAAACAAAAGGCTAGCGAAAATGAACAATGATTACTAATGAAATAGAAAAGGGACTTTAAATAAATTTCTTTCCATTCTAGGGAAAAAGCACAAGATTCAAGAATTTTTTTGTGAGCCAACCATCATTATACTTCTTTACATATTCTGAAAATCCTGCTCTTGTTAAATGAGGAAGCCTTTTTGATCTTCCTTCAAGTCCCACAAGAGATGTCACCATTCACGACTCCTATATTAGAGGCACCTTGGCCAGCAATGGATTGATATTTTTCTTTGTTTTCAATGCTTAATCGAGTTCCAGCACCATTTTCATTATCAATGATGCTACCTTCGACCTCATGTCCCTCACTTGTCAATTGATCAGCTTTATCCACTGCCTCTTGGGCTTTCATCCTTGCTCTTCTCTTTGTTGTCTTCTTCTTGCCTCTTGCTCCTTTAGCTGCTTAAATCTGGAAGATATGGAACACAAGAATGAGAAAACTACAACTCTGAGAAAGGCCATTCGAAAATAAGCAAATTCAAACAGTACCTATCCCAGGACGCAGCCCATCTAGCGTCAATTTTACTTCTGTTTGGCCTCCTTTCTAGTGGCATCAATTCAGAGAGAGATTTCTCAAGCGGATTCGCTCATCCTTGATTGTATCATCATAAGTTGCTTTGCTGGATTCTTTGCACCTCCTAGCTTGAAGCCATACTTGTTGGGTACTAATATTGTTTGTTAACTGCAAATATAATTATGCCTCATTAATGCTTCCTAAAATATTGAAAAGCAACAAATAACAGTATTTATATGCAAAAATAATACTTGTCAACTTCTCCCAACAAAGATTAGACAATAATTCCAGTCCAGCAACATCATGATTAAAAAATCTCAGAATCAAGATGAACATTGTTGTGGCTGAGATAAACACTAAGATTTAACATTTCTTCTTAAAATTAGGAGCAGAATGAATTGTACATAAATGAGATAATTTCTTCAGATCCAAGTTGGTAACAGATGTTCAGAACTAGGAAAACATTGTGACTCAGCACATTATCATGTTTGTCACATGTAGCCTACATCTTTTTGAGGTATGTCATACAGAAACAAGAGAAGGGACATAAAAATAACAATTTGTCAAATATATACATATTGTTTTTTAACAAAAGAAATAGCAGTGAATTGAGGTATTTAGTAGTGAGCTAAATAATAGATAAAAGAAGCGACATAGAACCACGCTAGTTATCATGGAATGACTGACCTGAGCTGATTGCATGATTTGGACAGAGACGTACTGCGAGACAACCAGCAAAAACAGGCAACACAAGATATGCAAATGTATCTGACCATCCAGGGGTGGGTGTCCATCCTACAAAAAGAAGCATACCACCAAAGTCAGAACAAACACCAGCTTTGTCAAATAAAAAAATCACAATCAAGCAAGAGACATGAACATTAAATTTAATAGTCAAAAAGAGGGTAGTTGCAAATAATATCAAACACTACAACAAATGGGAAAAGCCAAGATATACACGCCCTCTGTCGAGCAGCGATTGTAGTTGGACCAGCTAGAGGGTATCCAAAAGAACCCTTCTGGTGAGGAGTCCCTAGATGCAACTTTGATTAAACATAAGAGATTGGAGAGCAAATGTTAAAATTAGAAAACTAACAAAATGGCACGCTACCTCATTTGCCACATTTGACAGGGCTCGAAAGGCCAATCCACACTGGAATTGTGGCCAGAGTAGGAAGGCATCCTGGGAGAGAACAATGAAAAGTACATATAATCAGTGTCACCCCCAAGAATCAAGTATAAAAGGTGTTATAATGCTAGAAGAAGATCATGAAAAAACAGACGCAAAGATAAATCTGACCCTCTTTCTTTCTGTTTTGCTTTAAGCAGAACTGCTTTTGACGTACCACATCAGCAAAGACCATAAGAAAATCAAAATAGAAGACAGTGGCATTACATTTATTACTTAAAGTTTGCTATTCCAGCATTTAAATTTCACACACAAGTCCAAACTTTCAAAAGTATAAAAGGTGTTATAATGCTAGAAGAAGATCATGAAGAAAACAGACGCAAAGATAAATCTGACCCTCTTTCTTTCTGTTTTGCTTTAAGCAGAACTGCTTTTGACGTACCACATCAGCAAAGACCATAAGAAAATCAAAATAGAAGACAGTGGCATTACATTTACTATTACTTAAAGTTTGCTATTCCAGCATTTAAATTTCACACACAAGTCCAAAACTTTCAAAAATCCTGACAACTAAGATAGAACATAAGGAACTATAGTAAAGATTCATCAGATGAAAAGAATGAAAACAATAACTAAAATAAAGTATGGGGAATTCAAAAGGCTTTAGGAAATTAAAATAGTGAGTTATGCAGAATTTATTAAGGCAATGTGGGGATGAGAATAGGATGTATTATCAGTACCTGCTAATGGATTTATCCCAGCTAGTTTATATAACCTAGCAGTTTCAAGCTGAATTCTCTCCTGCAAATACAAAAGAAAAGTAGCTCAAAGATTAAAACAATTTCAATTTGCCAAAAATAAACAGCAAACAATCCAAAGATGTAAGCATTAAATTAATACCCTCTTATGTTTTTTTTTATTTTGCCCCAAATCAAGAGCATCAAATAATTTATCATAATCAACATCTAGAATTATGATATGAGTTAGATTAATTAATTAATAATTATAGAGCCAACCGTCCCTGCTTTAAACAATATGCAAAATTTACCTGATCTCCAGCATACCGCTGCTGAATAGCCTTTATTTGCGGTTGTAAGGAACGCATGGCCATTGTAGATTCTACCTGCGCTCAAAAACAGGAAATAAGAACAACTGGCAAAACCCAAACCTCTTTTTTCTCTAAGAAATATACAATTTCATTTTGTTTTTCAAAAAATGAACCCAAAATATTAATGAAGAGTTACCGAATGGATAATTAGATCCTCTATTCCTAAATAGTTATATTGTTCTGTTTGGTTTTATCTTAAACAACGAACCTGCTTCCTAGTCAAGGGAAACGTAGCAGCCTTAACAATAACAGTCAGAAGTATAATAGCAAAACCATAAGCGTACGGCACATGCAAAGCCGATAATCCATCCTTTAAAACCTGGACGAAATTAACCCAAACAACGTTGATAATTTCTCAAAGAAAAAAAATCAATAAAAAGGGGAAAAATGAACTTTTAATTACCTTCAAAATAGTTTCCATGGAATCGGCTATTCCCGAAAGCCAGTCATTGTTTTGTTTAGTAGTAGTGGCAGTGGTGGTAGTAATCGTATCTGAAGACGAAACGGCGGCGTCAGCTATCGTATAGAGAAAGCTTTCTGCTCTAGTAAACAGCTCTCTGATGGCACCCTCGGAAGCATCCGGATCGGGCAAGAACCCCGGTTTGAACGAGAACTTGGCCACGGATAATGAACCACAAAGAAATGATCGGTGATCGGAAATTGAGCTCGGTTTTAAAAGAGGATTGGGTGGTCCGATTCGGTCGACGAAAGGAGAGAGAACGAGCACGCTCGGTCTGATAGAGAGACCAGGCCATTCCTTTTGTTTGAAGTAAAAATCTTTACAGATAACCCTAGAATTTTAGTTGCAGAGGTTTCTGTCGAAGGTGGGGATATGGGAGCGAAATGGAATTTTATTTTAGAAAAACAAAAAACCTGGGTGGAGAAGATAATTACAAATCAAAATACAGTGGAAATGTTTTTTATTTTAGGGTAAATTTACAAATAGTCCCTTATATTTTTCGATCTGACCAATTTTGGTCATCGGTTAAGAAAATGGTTTTAATTCTTTTGTTATGGGTCCGTTCGGTTTTAATCTATCGACCGTTAACCCGTTAACTCATTGATGAAAGTATGAATTGGCGTCCCGTTAACTGATCGATGAAAGTCTGAATTGACATTCAGAAAATAAAACAAAAGACCTTCTTCTTCTTCTTCTTCTTCTTCTTCTTCTTCTTCTTCTTCTTCTTCTTCTTCTTCTTCAACAAATTATGATATTATCCTTACTGGTAAAAATACTACTTTCTCCATTTTAGAACCAATTCAGACTGTGTCTTGTAATAAGACCAGACAGTAAATTTCTCATTTTTTATTTAATAATCATAAACCTTATATAATATACCATTAGTCTGTCTTTTTCATTTATGTATTCATAATGAGGTTAAAATAGATTTATATTATAACCTTCAAGTAAAGCCTTCATCAGTTCAATATAGTAACCATATATACATATACATAATCTGCTGCCTCACGTGTTTGACAACGGGGTTACAGCCTTTACCACCATATAACAACACAATGCAAGTATTGTTAAATAAAAAACTACTGTCAAATGAACTTGGGGCTTGACATATCCTAAGATAGAAACCTAAATGCCACATTACTCTCACCATTCTCTTTTGATTTCTTTTCTTTCAAACTAAAACGCCAAAGAATAATGTGAATATCTTTCTCTCCGTATAAAGATCAGTTCATTGCCTTGTTCTTACTTCTTAGTTCTTCTATTTGCTAACATTTTCTTTGTCTGCAAGTAAAGAGTTGATTGTTTTCCACTCCGAAAGCTTTTGACTTTGTATTTGAGTTGATTGTCTGCAAGTTAACTTTGTCTTCATATTGTTCTAACTTGCTTTTGGATGTAAAAACGTGCAATAGAGAAAGGAATGAAAGGTGAGAGTACTATAAATTTCATTGCAGAGATTGCAGCTGACTCTGTAATGAGAGAGCGAAAAATGCAGAGCTTATGGAGAGAACCATCACTTGAAGCTCAAATACAACACAAGGAATAGTTTGCAGCTTTATGGAATAGAAGAAGATTGGACAAACATTATTATAAAATATTACTAAATTTAATAATTTAAAAATGGTCGGAGGCAAAAATGAAATGAAACTATGAAGGTGTGTGTGTTTTCCCCTTTCTCACGTGGTAATTAGAAGTAGGGGAAAAGGTTGGTGGATACTTTTATAAATATAATTAGGGTAAATTACAAAATCCATCACTAACTTTTTTATACTCTCTTTCATCATTTCATTTTTTCATTTTAATCATTTAACTTTCAAATAACTATTATTTAGTCATTTTTTCATTAAATAACTAATGATATTATGACATTACATACGACACCAAAACAATGGAATTTGAAAAAGAAAAAAAAACCAAATTTATACTAAAACTGCATCATTTTTTTCCTTATAAAGCCAATGTTTTTTCTTTATTTTTTTTTTTCTTTTATTGTTCTCATTTTCTCTCCTTCTGTCCAAATTTCATTCACTGCTCATCGTGGTCAACTAACATGCCGACCACTGTTGATCACATCAACAATGAACTATGAGTCTTAAAATTTCTTACCAGACTTATTATGTTCTCCTGAACATAAATTCAGTGTTTGTTTAACTGAAAACATCCTAAATGCATTACCATTTCCATTATCTTATGAACCCTGAACATAAACTGATGTTTTTGGATGACTCTTTCGTTCTAGGATCAAACCACCACTTGAATTGATTCCTAAACTTTTCAAATCTAACCTTTTGGGTCAAGATCATCACATATTGGATCTATATTTTTCATAGT